TCTTTAGGGCATATTCCTAGTCATGGAATTGCTGAGTCAAATGGTCTTTCTATTGCCAACATTTTGAGAAAGCACCAGACCACCTTCCATAGTGGTTGCATCCTTTTACACTCCCACCAGCAGTAGTAAAGGTTCTAGTCTTTCACAACCTGACCTGCATTTGTTGTTTGTCATGCCTGTTCTGACTTGACACTGAGGTCTCAGGCACTGAACACTCAGTGCCCCGTCCCCATCGATGGGAGAGGTGTGATGGTGCTGACTTTGGCCGCCCTTTCTGTGTTTCCCACATCTGGGGTTACTGAGATGTTCACGTGAGCCAGGAGGAAGCAGGCATGGGGAGGAGTACTGTGCTTGCAGCTGGCTGCACAGCCTGCTTTGGAAAGGAGAACATTAAAAATCTGTTGACTCAGGACGAGCGTGAGCAGACCCAGGGTGGGCCCAGGCTCCAGCCCTGCCGGGTCAGCAGGCATCAGTGGGGCTCAGTTGCTCCTTTCCCATCTGCCTCTAGCAAGTTGCTGCAGCCCAGGGGCCGTGTGGCCCTGGCTTGGATGACATGTGCCCCTCCTCCAAGGTTGGTGCTGGGTCTTTGTCCATGCACAGGTGTACGTGCCAGGGGCAGGGACAGACAGACTGACTGGCCGAAGTGGAAGCTGCCTATCCCTTCCCAGCTCCCACCAGCTGACACCAGGCTACCTGCCTGCCCCCTTCCCTTGCCACCCTCCTCTCATGTTCCACCCCCCCACAGGCTGGCCCTTTCTCATCTGGGTCTTGGCTAGGCAGCTACCCAACTCAGGAGGTCCTGCTGGGTCCCCCAGTCGGCTTCTTGCTCACTGGACTCCCTTAGCACTGGAACTTGGAGCAAATCTCCACCCTCAGGTTATTATCATTTCATCCCTAGAGACTGGGGTCTCCTAGAGGACAGGGACTTTGATCCTCTGAGAAGAGACTCTTCAGCTTTGATCCTCTGAGAAGAGACTCCTCAGCGTCTCCAGCACCTAGTCCAGGCCCTGGACTTGCGAAGATGTTTGGCAGACACTGGAAAAAGGAGAATGGCAGGAAGAGAAGAGAAAGAGCTCTTCTGTCTCCTAACTCTGTCCTCCCTTGCCGTCCCCAGCTAAGTCCCTCTTGTTATGCCAGGGAGGGAGCAGCAGAGGCAGGGTGGAGGAGGGAAAGGTGCTGACGGAGCAGCACTTTCCGCCTGTCATGCTTGAGGCTTAAGGTCTATTTGTGGACCCCCAGCTAAGCCCCTAATCCCTGAGAGCCAGCTGAATCAAGTTCCATGGGACTCCCAGCTGGTTGGGGCTGGGGGCACCACAACATAGTCACCTCTGCCTGTAGAACGAGCCCACCCCGGGTCCATAGTCCCCACTGGCCCATGCTCCTCACTGGCCCTTTGTGGCCTGCCTTTCCAGAGGTCATGGAACTGGAGCTGGAGCTGGAACTGCACATGGGAAGAGAAGCAACTCATGCTCAGAGTTATGCAGCCCGGGGTGCCTCAACCCACTTGGCCCTCTCCTCAGTGCTAGGAGGAACAGCCTGCCTCATGGGGTATAGGAGGGTTGTTTCCTCCCACACTCTTAATTGAACACTTAACCTGGCTTGGGAGCTGGAGAACCAAGCCCTGCATTCTTGGGCAAAATGGGTAGTTGATCAAGAGAGAAGTAAAGAAACTGTTAAAGACATTAAAAGGAACATGATGGGAGGTAGGGCCTGGCTTGGGAGGTCTCTACCAGGCCAAGCTGATGAGATGGTGCATGAGTGAAATTCAGGGAGAAAGTAAGAGAAATTCAGCGAAGAGTCTGGAGTCTGAGTACTCCCAACAGCCTTGTGACATGTGAACTGCTCTCATGTCCACCGTACAGAGAAAGAAAACCAAGGCACAGGGAAGGGAGGTGCTGGCCGAGCCTGGACTGTGATGGAGACACCCCTGTGTCTGTCTGCAAGTTTAGTCCACATGTTCGTGTAGGGGGTCATGCCAGCCTGGGTGAAGAAGGGTGTGAGTGGCTGTTGGCTCGGAAATCAACCTTCCTCTTGCGCGTTCTGTGGAGATCAAGCCCTCCACCTTGACCTCATTAGTGTTGGACCTAATCACCGGCCAAGCACCTTAAACTTCCAGAGGTCAGCACTGTCTCCTCCCTGCCCGGCCCCTGCTCCATCCTCATACTTTGTCTCCTCTTCCTGTGTGAAGAGCTGTTGGCTACCAGCAGGCCTGATCATGGAAGAAGCTCTGGGCCTCCAGCAGGCTGAGCCTGGAGAGGTGTTTTTTTGAGAAGATGGCGTTCACAATCCCAGAGTGGAGGAGACTGGAGCAGAGGCTGTCTTGGTTATAATCCAAAGAGAAATACAAGTGGATGATTTAACAAACAAAAATGTATTTTTCTCACAGGCTGGGAGCCCAGAGTGCAAATTCAGTGTATTGGCTCTAAGGGAAGCTTTCTCTATGTCAGTTGTGGTCTCTTCAGCTTCTGTTCCTTGTGGTGTGGAGTTTATCATCTCTGCTTCTTGTTTCACTAATTCTGCCTCATTAATGTAACAAAGACATCCCACTCCTAGATGTGCTTTTAATCACAGGTAGTGGTGGTGTTGTGTTGGGAACCCGCTCATAATAGCTGACCCTCCAGGGGGGTTTCAGAGGCAATAAATTGCACAGAGGAAAGGACCCATCCTTCTCCTGAGGAGCAGCTGGCAGTTTTGAACTGTGTGCCTTTAGGTTGGCAGCAAAAATCCTTAGCACTAGGCCACCAGTGCTCCCTAATCACAGAAATGGTGGTTAGATTTATAACACACGTTTTGGAGGAAGAATGTTCCTTAGGACCTTAGAACATGCCGTTTTCTCTGCTGGGACGTCTTCCCCCTACTCCAGATTTTTGTGTGAGTTTCAGCTCAGACTTCACCTTCCCTGAGTGTTCCCTGGCAACTTGCTGTAAAATTAGATGCTAGGCATCTGGATGCAATACATCCAGAGCTGTATGGAATTGGGCAGGTCTGCCACCAAGCACCTTGTTAAAGTGCTGAAGCGCTCAGATGGCAGTTTCAAAACCAAGGTGTGCCTGGCTCAAGCCATGGTCTTTTCATTTGCTTGCTACGCGTCTGAAAGATGAACGATGAATAAGGAAGACAGAGAAGAATCGAAGTCTTTGAGGTGTGGTGTTGGAGAAGAGTACTGACTATCCCATGGATGACCAAGAGAACAAGCAAGTCTGTCCTAGAAGAAGCACATCCAGGGTTCTCCTTAGCGGCAAGGATCATGGCACTTCCTCTCACATACTTGGGCCATGCTGTCAGGAGAGACCAGGCCTTATTATGCTAGAAAAAATAGACTCAGTGAAAGAGAAGGTCCTGAATAAGATTGACTGGCAATGACTGACTGCACAGTGGATCTGGTCAGGGTGACTGGGAGGCTGGTGCAGGATCTGTCATTGGTCTGCTGTTTCTAGGGTCACTGAGTCATCATCCACCTGACGCCATCTCACGGTCTAACACCTGTTACCACCTGAACGTGCAGTTGATGTTTGTTTCATTGTCTGTTTGGCGTGTTCTCTCTTCCCACTGAAGCGTGAGCTTCCTGAGGACAGGGTCTCTGTCTCACCACGTGTGCCTCCCTGAATCTACTGCCTTGTCTTGGAACAAGATGGGGTCTCAGTGGTTTGCTGAATGAGCAGTGGTCCAGCTTGGCCGAGGGGTCTTGCCTGTTCCTCACCTCGCTGACCCCCGCCTTGAACCCGTGTGTGAGGATGTGCTTGCCAGTGCCCAGTCACAGGGACCCGTAGGTCACTGACCCCAGCATTTTCCTTCTCATCATGCATCTTTTGGGGGCTCCTGCCAGCAGTGTCCCAGGCCCACTCTGCCTAGCTGTCAAATAGCAATAGAAATCTGCAGACAGTACACTGACCACCCCAGGTCTCTCCCAGCCCTGGGCTCACCCGCCCTTCAGAGTGGGACCTACAGTAGTGTAGGGCCACATCCCCTAGCCCGTAAGGCCCCCTCACAGCAGGGCTTGTCACCCACCCATGCCCATCACATAACTGCCTGCCTGGACGAGCCCTCTCTGGTCGCCCTTCTCTGGCCCCTGCCTCAATCCTTGCTCCTCACAGTCCACCTCTGCTGGACCTTTCTGCCACCTTTCAGGCAATTTCCAGGTCCCTCTACATAAAGCTGGGCCTCAGCTCTTCTCCTGCCCATCAGCTTTGTGCAGCCAAACCCCTAGGGCTCTAAGCCTTCAGCCTCTGCTCACCCCTTCTCCCCATCTTCACTGGGGTTCCCTCATGCCTCCCTTCTCCGTTGTCTCATGCACTGCCCTGAGAAGGCCAGCATCTCTTTCTTCCCACAGCTGAGTCTCCCTCCAGTCCAGGAGATTCTCCAGCCCTTCCTTCAGAGCCTGTGTCCCCAGCAGCCTGCACATAGATGCTTAATGAACCATAAGTACAAGGATTACAACTCTGTGCAACCAGCACTTCCTGACTGAGCGCTGAGGCCTGCCAGGCAGGGAGTTTGACCTGGGGAGTGCTGGAGCTGGCAAGAACGAAGCTGATTATCCAAGATGATGAATGTCAGGCCAGGGAGAGGGCCAGCCTAGAACAATCTAGGCAGGAAAGGGATGGGGGAGCCATGAAGGGAAAGAGCTGCCAGCTTGGAGGCTCATGGTGCCATCAGGAAAGACATCTAGGTCTAATAGAGCAGTTGGCATGGAGCAGAGAGACTCAACCCCAGCCCTGGCCCAGCCATGACAGTGAGATGTGCAGAGACATGGCGGGTATGGGACACATGAGGACCAACTTCCGGTTCCCAGGACCCTGAGTACCTGCAGTACTGAGCCCAGGATCTGTGGTGTCACCTTGACCCCTCTCGGAAGCCAATTAGGTCCTGGTTGCAGGAGGGATTAGTATGATTAATAACGCCCCCAATCTTCCAGGTGCTGATTCAGCCTGGAGCTTAGGGAGGGGAGGTCACTTTATAAGGGCCTGGGGGGGGTCTGAGCCCCTAGTCGTTTGCCGCCAGCGCCCTGGTGACCGAGCTCCGGCTTGGGCAGTACCCTCAGGTGGGAGCGCGGGCAGCCAGCAGGCCGCAGCCATGAACGGCACGGAGGGCCCCAACTTCTACATCCCCTTCTCCAACAAGACGGGCGTGGTGCGCAGCCCCTTTGAGTACCCGCAGTACTACCTGGCGGAGCCCTGGCAGTTCTCCATGCTGGCCGCCTACATGTTCATGCTCATCGTGCTCGGCTTCCCCATCAACTTCCTGACGCTCTACGTGACCGTCCAGCACAAGAAGCTGCGTACGCCCCTCAACTACATCCTGCTCAACCTGGCGGTGGCTGACCTCTTCATGGTCCTGGGGGGGTTCACCACCACGCTGTACACCTCCCTGCATGGATACTTCGTCTTCGGGCCCACGGGATGCAACGTGGAGGGCTTTTTTGCCACCCTGGGAGGTAAGGACCACGGCGGGCAGGGCAGGGGCTGAGAGGAGCTAGGGACAACCACAGACCTAGAGATGGTGTGATGGCAGCAGAGATGCCGTCCCCGCCGGGTCATCTGCATCACCTGGCAGCCCTTGACTGTCAGAGCAGGGCTGTGCTCCACAGCATTTCTCATGAAGGCATTTTCTTTTTAAATAAATGATCTCCAGGCCTTTCTTCTGAGTTACTTCTGCATAGACATGAAACACCAACTTCTGGGTCAGCAGCTGAAAGTGTTAACCATTGGACCCATGCAAGGACTCCAGCAATACTTAAAGTTTATTAGATGAACAAGCATTGTCAGTGATTAAGATAGGTGCCTTTCACTGATTGCAGCCACTAAAGTCTTTATCCCATTAGAAGAGAGGTTGTTGCCTCGTTTTTACAGCAAAGAAACTGAGATTCAGAAGAACAACAGTGCTGGGGGTCCCACAGTGCTCGGGGCACAGCTGAGTTCTGGGCCATTCTGTGGCTCCTCAGACTTGGGTTCTGTCCCTCAGAACAGGTGTGTTGGGTCAGACCCATGCTGGGCACTGGAGATAGCGCCACACACACCCCTGCCCCACAGAGGCCCCCAGCCTTCGCTGCCCCTGTCATGGCATTTCCCCTTAGCAGCACCACTGCTTGGTGGTGAGTCCTGTCCTCCCTGGCCCAGTGCTGCCCGAGTGCCACTCCAGCATGTCTGCTGTACTTGAATGCTTTTGTTTGTTTGTTTTAAAGCAGTTGGGATCTGGAAGGTAGGTCTTTTTATTTGATTAACAGTGTGTTGGGGCTGAGAGCCTCTTGTTCAAAGCTATTAGGACCAGCGAGGTGGGCAGTCACTTGAAAACTTTTTGTGTTGGGAGAGTTCATTACCTTCTAAAGCAACCCCTTTCCTAGAGAAATATACCTGTATTCTAAAATAAATTTTAAAAAATTGGGGGGAAAGTGGTAGATATTGGCTGAAGAGGAAAGAATTTCATTTAGGGACTGGCAGGGCATGCCCAGAGTCTTCTGCTCTGACCCAAGAACATCTCCCGGGTTGTGAGACAAGATGAGGTCAGATTCAGGTTATTCCAAATTGGGGGGTGAAGGGTGGCTGCCTCTCGTGCACACACACAGGGTTCTGGCCCTCACACGTGCAGGGTTCTGGCAAGCCCTTCCTGGGGAGCTGACCGTCAGTGAGTGCTATTTGCTGCCTTCACTTCACATATCACTTGGACTGATATGAAGAAAGTGGGGTGGGTGGAACAGGGGTCCCTCAAACAAATGTGCATTGCTCTGAAGAATCTCATTTACAACTGCTGTCCTGGAATCACCTGGTAGGGCTCCTTGCAATCTCAGAAATGTCCCAGTTAGGTTGATAAGTTTGCAGCTCCCGCCTGCCAAGCTCCAAGGTGGCAGTACTGCGAGGCTGTCTGAGCTCCTTCAGTGTTTCCTTTTCCTTCCTCAGGGCAGAGTTGCTATGGTCAGGCGCCATGTCCCTCGGGGCCCCAGTGTTAACCAACTCACCACTCTGGGGATACTGCCCACCCTACCTGCCACCCTGCTCCTCACTATTAGACCTCCACCTGTACTCAAGCTCCCCTCGAAAAAGGAGTGATGCTTCCTCCCCAGACAGGCTGCCAGGGTCCCCAGAGGGACACACTGACCTACCCCTGGCTGCCTTGCAGGTGAAATTGCCCTATGGTCATTGGTGGTCCTGGCCATTGAGCGGTATGTGGTGGTGTGTAAGCCCATGAGCAACTTCCGCTTCGGGGAGAACCACGCCATCATGGGTGTCGCCTTCACCTGGGTCATGGCCCTGGCCTGCGCTGCACCCCCGCTCGCCGGCTGGTCCAGGTAAGTGGGCTGGGTAGAGAGGGCCCTAGTCAGGATTCAAACTCAGGCTTGTCCAACTGCAGAGACTGAGTTCTTAGACCCCACTGCCCCAGATGCCCCAAATCTGGCAACTGCCCCAGCTTGGGAAGGAGGAGCAGACCCTGGTATAGCTGTGGAGGCTGGTCCTGGCCTCTGAACCCCCTTGTCAAGGAGAATCCAAGATGCCCCAGCACTTCATCTTGGCTTTGCCTATAATCCTCAACTAAGCCATGGCCAATTCCAATCCTCTTTGGCCCAGGGCTCCATGGGTAGTACTGACCTTGGCCCTCTGCACAGGGGAGGCTGGGCCTTCCTAGCACAGCTGGTAACACTGGCCACTGGGAACTAGTCCAGCCCAGCCTCAGGCCATGGTGGGACTTCCAGATTGGAGAGTCTGGGTGGTCAAAACATAGGGTGCTTCTGTCGTCCCTCTGCCTCAAAGAAAGACCACTATCTCCCCTTTCACGCTCTCTAATATTCCTGGGGTCAGTTGCTCACTCCTTGTTAACTCTGAGTCCGTTCTCCCTCCCAAACTCTTCTCTGTCCTCCCCCATCTGGCAGTTACGTATATGTCCTCTCCCAGTGGCCATTCCATGTACAACTTTCTATCCTCAGAAACCCCTGAAAACAGGCCCTGCCCACCTCGGGAGCTTCTGTTTCCAGAAGCTGCACGTGTGTGTCTTTGGCCTAGAAAACCGTCATGTTCTTTTGCTAAATGAGAGCCTATTTTGTACAGACTGCCTCAAAAACAGATCTCTGGAGGGATTCCTCTCCAAGAAAAAGTCTCTGGGAGGTTGGGCGGTTCCATCCGTGCAGAGTGAGGTGTGGTCTTCAGGCCCTGCTGGGTGGGAGCTACTGGGTGGTCTCTCCTGATCACACAGCCAGCCGTGGACCCCCCTTTCTTACCTCAGTTGATTCAGTCATTTGAGAAGCAAAGTGAGGGGCAGAGATGTGTGGCAGAGCTAGACAGCTGGCCTTGGGCCACTCACAAGACCTTTAGGAGCGGCCTCTCTTCCTGGCCCCAGGTACATCCCAGAAGGTATGCAGTGCTCGTGCGGGATCGACTACTACACCCTCAAGCCCGAGGTCAACAACGAGTCCTTCGTCATCTACATGTTCGTGGTCCACTTCACTATCCCCTTGGTCGTCATCTTCTTTTGCTATGGGCAGCTCGTCTTCACGGTCAAGGAGGTACGTGGGTGCCAAGGCTGGCCTTGTCCCTGAGGGCACTGCTCAATCCCCGCCTGTGATAGGTCCCCAGACAGGCCTGGCCCTGGCCTCGGAGCCCGTCTGGACACCCAGCCTCTCCCCCTGCAGGCAGCTGCCCAGCAGCAGGAGTCAGCCACCACCCAGAAGGCAGAGAAGGAAGTCACCCGTATGGTCATCATCATGGTCATCGCTTTCCTGATCTGCTGGGTGCCCTACGCTAGTGTGGCCTTCTACATCTTCACTCACCAGGGCTCCAACTTCGGGCCCATCTTCATGACCATCCCGGCGTTCTTCGCCAAGAGCTCCTCCATCTACAACCCTGTCATCTACATCATGATGAACAAGCAGGTGCCTGTGGGTGGGGCGGGCCGGGGCGGGTCACATCCTAAGGGGGACGCAGTCTTCCTGTATGGGCTACACCCAGAGAGCTCTGGGGGCTTAGTGGTAAGGAAATGCACTGCCAGCACAAAGGTTCCAATCCACCAGCTGCTCTGCGGGAGAAGGATGGACAGTCTCCTCCCATGCGATTTACTGCCTCTGAAAACCCACCGCAGGTCAGTTCTGACACAATACTCAGCAAGAAGACTGCATCGGGACAGTATGCAGCACTGGTTGGCAGCTTCAGTGCATTTGAAATGGAGATTCCTGGTCCAACCCAGACCTGAACCAGAACCTCTAGGGGTGGGCCCAAGAACTAGCATTTCTAATGATCCACCCAGGAGAGTCTGCACTTGATCAGGCTTAAGAAATATTGATCCTGATGGAAATCTATTTTTGAGGCAAATAGTCCAAGTTCCCCAGCTGGGAATGGAATAATGCCAGTTTCCATAAAACTAAACAAGACACTAAGAAAGTCTCATGGTGAGGGTTAAAGCATTCCTTACAGAGAGACCAGAGGCTTCTCTGCAGAACCTACAGTTCCGGGATGGGGGGCGGAGCGTTGTCTCTACTGTGAGGCATGAGTTCAAATCCCAGCTCTGCCATTTTTCTAGCTGCTTGTGCCTGGGTGGCACTTCCATTTCCTCCCTCACAGAAGGATAATGTGTAGGAAGGCCCTGGTGCATTTGAGTCTTGGGGACAAAGTCCCTTTGAGTTTGGTCCTTGGCGTTTTCAGCAGAGGTCATTGCTGAGCAGCATGGTCCCTCCAGAGAGCCAGGCCTGAGGAGAGCGGAGGCTGAGAGAGGGAAGCAGGAAGGAGTTAGAGGCAGAGCCCCGTCCTTGCCAGTCCGTGAGGGTCCTGACCCCCACGCCTTGCCTTCCAGTTCCGGAACTGCATGCTCACCACCCTCTGCTGCGGCAAGAATCCATTTGGTGAGGAAGAGGCCTCCACCACCGTGTCCAAGACGGAGACCAGCCAGGTGGCCCCGGCCTAGGCGCTGCCTGCGACTGCGGCTGTAGGAGAATCGCACCCCCACACCCGCCCCGAGCCACAGCCACCCACCGGGAGGATGCTTGTGGGGATAAGGCCACACAGGTTCCCTGATTTAAAAGTAAAGAATGAACTTATGAGAGAAAAATGAAGCTGCCTCCTTGGTGGGCCTGACCTGAGGAGGGATGCTTACTGAGACCCCCAATCTGAAGTTCCCAGGGGCTGACAGCATCAGCCCCCCTCCTCCCTCCTTATCTCTTAGAGTCACAAAGACTCTTGCTCTCTGGAAAAAAGTGTCCCAGCTTAGGGATAAGTGTCTAGCACAGAGAGGGGCACACTGTAGGTGCTTAATAAATATTTGCTGGATGATGGATGGAAGGAATGAATGGGCGGGGAAAGCCTATACTTACAAAACGACTTTAGCAACAGCGGCTCACACTTCAGGCTGTGTGACCCTAGTAGCTGCATTCCCTCTTGGCCCTCCACGTCTTGCCCCACAGAATGGAAACCCCAGCTCCAGAGCCGCCTCCCACCCAGCACTGCTATGGCGCTCAGATGAGGTGTGTGTGTGTGTGTGTGTGTGTGTGTGTGTGTGTGTGTGTAAGCACTTTGTAAATGGTAAGAAGCTGTACAGGCTGTTAGTTAACATTACACCAACTAATAGGTTTAATTCATTACTGTCATCATCTCCTCTTGTTAGTGGTCATTTTGAAATCAAGCACCTAGACAATGGGATTTCACTTAACCTTAGCAGATTTTTTTTTTTAATTAGCTGGGTGTTCAAGGCCACATCAGGGACCAGGAAACCAAAGGGAGGGACAAGCCAGGGAATGTAGTTGTCAGACCTAAACAGCCAGCATCAGACAGCATGGGGTCCAAGCCCAGCTCTGACCGCTGGCATGAAGCTTCAGGCCCAGTGTCCCCTTTCCCTGGCCTTTCCCCCTGCTTCTAGAAAACACCTGCTCCTTCTGCCCCAGCTCCAGATCACAGCATCTCTGGTCAGTACGGAGATTCTAGCAGCATGCCCACCTGTCCACATTTCAGGAAGAGCTAGCTGAGTCCTTGGAGGCACTCTTGTCTCTCGGATCTGAGGCAGTGGGTAATTCTGCCAGAGCCTCCCTCCCTGGGGGTGTTCACTTTCCAATTGCAGCGCCTGTGGTGGACAAAGCCCGGTCTTCAGTGGCTGCTCGTCTGTTGTCCAGCAGAGCCCTGACTTCTAAGCTGCCAGCACCCAGAAGGGAGTCAGAATCAAGCGGCCTCAATAACCTCCCCCTCATTACCAAAGCCAGGAGCTCTAGCTTCCTCAGCACTGCCTGGAGAAAAGGCAAACCAGGACATTAAAATCTCAGCTCCTATACTTTGCGTTCCTTTATGGTGGTTCTTGTTGCTTTTCAGCATCTTATCTGCAAGGTTATTTGAAACTGGGCTGCATCCCGCTCCCGCCCGGAGAGGCCTGGACTGGGCCACCAGCTGAGCAAAGCAGCCCAGGGCCCCTGGAAGAAGTAGAGGGTGAGGGTGGGGAGCAGGAGAAAGTGGTTCCAAGAATGGGAACTTGTGAAACGCAAGCAAGGTTTGTTGGTTGGTTGGGTTTGGGGTGTTTTTTTTCCGTGTTTTTTTTCCATCTCCCTGAGCCTCCTTATCGTCAAAGTGGCCTCTTTGACCTGACCTTGAGGGGATTAGATGAGGCTGTGCACTTTAAGCAGCAGCAGATGGGAGGGAACTTGCAGCCATGCCCTCCTGGAGCCCTTCTATGGCAGGAACAAGACGGAGGACCTCGGAGGACGAGGTCTCCGGAGTCAGCTCCATGCCCAGGGAGGGAAAGGGCGAAGGAGCTGGCACGAAGATAGTGCTTCAGTGAGGTTGCGGGAGGGGACACACGAGGCCTCAGTCACCGCCCCTCACCAAGGAACACCAATCAGGAAGGTCATTTCAGTGGGACTGAAACCAAGTGAGGAAGAGCCCAGGGCTTCAAGCGGAGCTGGTTGCAAAAGCTGAGATGATGGAAGTCTGTTTCCCCACTTCTGGCTCTGTTTTTTTCTTTACTGGATTCACTGCCAGGTAGTCTGTCTACAAGACTAGTCCCCAAAGCCCACTACCAAGCAAACCAGGAGAAATAAGACTTCTCTTTCCCATTGGTTCCAGGAAAGGTCTCAGGCTGGGCTCTCATTGGCCAGACCTGGTTCACATGCTCACACATAAACGTATCCTCATCCTCTGATTGGCCAGGCCAGTTTACATACTCACTCCTCTAGCACAAATAGTGCTGCTGGTCTGAGCACGGGGTAGAGTCCCCAAAGGAGGCTCAAAGGTCCCCTGACCAGAAGAGGCAAGTAGGCAAAACCAGCAGTGGCTCAGAGGATAAAGAGGGGTTAGGAGCATTTCAGTGTCCCTACATGGACTTTCGTTCATAGGGTCACTATGAGATGCCTACGACTTGACAGCACTTAACAACAACAACAACAATGTTATAGACTACCACTTCCCCAAACTCCCCTACTACGGCTTAGTCTCACATCCAGGGAAACATTTTACTGTAAAACGAAAAGATACACAGAAAGCCTCTGCACCTCTTTAGTTTACAATTATTTTGCAGCCACTGATTGAGCACCTGCAGTACATGTATGATAAGGTTATTGCTGCTTAAAAATTGCAGGAAAGGTGGTGCTGCCTCCTGGACAGGCTCTCAGCATACTATGTAAGTGTATATTGTATACATTTGTAGCTCAAATCAAGCAAACTGAAGGAAGCCAACCTCAGAGATCAGGTCTTTGTGCCATGACCCTGCCAGTTGAAGGTCATAGAGTCCAATCATACACTGTCCCAAAGTCAGCAGGCACCTGACCCTGTGGTACTTGTTAATGGTTCCATCCTGTGCCCTGTAAGAGATACAGGAGATGGAACCACAGCGGCAACAGTATGACCTGGGCAAATCCGTGGACCTCTCTAGCCCCTTATCTGTACAGAGGAGAATAATTTTATCAGAATTGTCTAAAGGGATCAATGAGAGTAATAATAGAATGTGGTACTCAAGCAGGTTTTTAATCACTGAGCTCCCTTTCTAAAGACATAAACCAAGTTGAAAGGAGACAACTCCTTGTCTGGTAACAGCTAAATGCATAAGAGATTAATGTAACAGCAGAATTTTCAGGAAAGGGAAGAAGAGAGTGCTCACTGCCCCAAATATACATTTCTCTTCCTTCAGTACTATCACCCCAAGTTCTAGCTGAGCATTTTGCCACCCAGTGTAAGGCACCCAGCTTACACTGTACATGGGATGGCATAAGATTAAGCTCTAGCCACTGAAATGTAATCAGAGTAAGTATATGCAGTCTCTAGGTTGTGCATATAATGAAATGTGCGAAGAGCTGGAGTTGGAAAAATCAAAACAGGAACTTGTTCAGCACTTTTTAAGCTGAAGGAATTAAAAGAACAAATTCAAGCCTCAAGTTGAGATATTTAAAGATGCTGTCGGCAGAATATTGAGTGACCCAGGAAGCAACAAAAGAAAGTGGAAGTTGTACAGAGTCACTATACCCAAAAGAATTGGCTAGCACAGAAAAATTTAATGAAACAGCATATGATCAAGAGGACATGATGATAAAAGAGGAAGTTCAAGCGTCTTTGAAGGAATTGGCAAAAAATAAGGCCCCAGGAATTGACAGCATACCAACTGACATATTTCAACAAATGTTTCCCTGGATGCGCTCACCAGGTTATGCCAAGAAATTTGGAGGACAACCGCCTGGCCAACTGATTGGAAGAGATCCATATTTATTCCCATTCCAAAAAGAGGTAACCCAACAGAGTGTGGAAATTATCGAACAATCTCACTAATATCTACCTGTGTTTCATTGACTATGCAAAGGCATTTGATTGTGTGGACCACAACAAAATGTCGCTGACTCTCAGAACAGTGGGAATCTCAGAACACTTGACCACTTGACTGTGCTTATGGGAAAACTATACTTGGACCAGGAGATAGTCATCAGAACAGAGCAAGGAAACACTACATGGTTCAAAATTGGGGAGGGTGTATGTCAAGTCTGTGTCCTATCTCTCTACCTTTTCAATCTATATTCAGAACAGATTAGAGGCTGGGCTCTATGTGTAGAAGCATAGCATCAGGATTGGAGGAAGACTCATCAACAATCTGTGTTATGCAGATAACACAACCTTGCTTGCTAAAATCCGAGGAGGACCTGAAGTGCTTGCTGCATAGAGTCAAGGACTGCAGCCTTCAATATGGATTGAAGCTCAATATCAAGAAAACAAAAAAATACCATTGGGTCCATTGGGAGCATCATGATAGATGGTGAAGAGATTGAGATTGTTAACAGCTTTAGTTTGCTTGGCTCCACAATCAACACTCTTGAACCAGCAGCCAGAAAATTAAAAGATGTATTACCATTGGGAAAAGTCAGTTGTCAGAGACTTCTCCAAAGTATTGAAAAGCAATGATGTCAGTCTGGAAACTAAGGTGTGCCTGATTCAGGCTATGGCTTGCTATGCATCAGAGAGCTGGCCAATGACTAGGATGATAGAAGGTGAATTCTTGTCTTTGAGCTGTGGAGTTGGAGAGAGTTTTGAATATACTACCACAGACTGCAAAGAGAATAAACAGGTTCATCCTGGAGAGGGTGAAACCAGGCTGCTCCTTGGAGGCAAGGATTCTGAGGCTTCCTCTGACATACTTTGAGCATGTTGCAAGGAGGGACCAGACCTTGGAGACGGACATCATGCTTGGGAGTGTGGAGGGACAGAGCAGGAGGGGAAGACCCTCGATGAGATGGATTGATTCAGTGACTGGAGTGCTGGGGGTAGGTGTGTCGGAGACAGTGATATTGGCAGGATAGAGCAGGGTTTAGAGCTGTAGTATATAGGGTCGCTATGAGACACAGGTGACTCAATGACACATAACAACAACATATCACATGCAAACAAGATCCTGCTGAAAATAATCAAAACCAAATGTTACAGCACATCATCAAAGAACTTCAGATGTGCAGGCTGGGTTTAGAAGAGGTCATGGCACTAGGACTATTATAGCCAATGTTAGGTGAATCTTAGCTGAAA